TCTTATTCTTCAGAAGAAGAGATCTTGTCTGTGTCTTTGGACCACACCGTCAACGCCGTGGATATGTCAAAGTTCAAGAACAAAATTTTCGCCCACATGGAGATTGCAAGTGAGTTAGTGAAGATGCAAGTCGATTCAGGAGCTTCATGCAATGTGCTACCCTGTAAGTTTCTTTCAAGGGACAGCAACACTGAGAAGACCAGTTTGAAGTTAACCATGTGTTCTAAAACAAATTTGAAGGTGCTGGGCGTGGCGAAAATATCCCTGCGAAACCCAAAGAACAAGAAAAAGTATCGTGCTGAATTTGCAATCATTGACAAAGATTACACTCCCCTTCTTGGCTCTTCAGCAGCACAACAAATGGGACTAACAACTGTCCAACAGGAAAACATCTTGCAAGTCAAGGAAAGTTATCAGGAACTTAGTATGGAGAGAATCACTGCGACTTACCCTAATGTCTTTCAAGGTCTGGGTTGTATGGAAGGAGCTCTTCACCTAGAAGTTGATAAGAGTGCTTCGCCTTCAGTCATGCCTCCCTGTCACGTGCCTCTCACCTTGAAAGAAAGGCTGAAAGAAGAGCTAGCCCGCTTAGAAGCTAATGTGATAAAGAGAGAAGAAGAACCAACGGACTGGGTATCTAGCCTTGTTGTAACAGAAGAGTGTGCATCGACCCTCAGCATCTTAATAAAGCCCTTAAGAGAAACCACTATCTGCTACCAGTAATCGAGGACATACTCCAGAACTAGCTGATGTCAAGGTATTCTCAAAAGCAGATGAGGAATCCAGTAAGCTAACAACGTTCCAGAACTCCTTGTGCAGGTACAGATATCTACGGATGCCCTTTGGAATCTCCCCTGCTCCAGAATGTTTTCATAGGAAGTTGGACCAAAATCTTGAAGGTCTTGAAGGGATCTACAAGGTAGCAGATGACATCTTAATTACCGGCCGTGGCACAAGCAAGGAAGAAGCTGTGAAAAACAATGATGCCAATTTACTGAAGCTGTTAGATAGATGCCGGGAGAGGAATTTGAAGCTAAACTGAGAGAAACTACAGCTGAAATGTACAGAGACCCCCTTTATTGGCCATGTACTGATGCCTGAAGGAATCAAGCCTGACCCTAGAAAGATAGAAGCTGTACTTAAGATGGAAAGACCCAGTAATGTGGCAGCAGTCTGAAGACTGATAGGCTTAGTCAACTACTTGGCAAAGTTTCTCAGCAAACTTTCTAAGCTGTGTGAACCACTAAGACGACTCACCCACAAGGGAGTCGAGTGGAGCTGGTCAAATGAGCAAGAGAAAGCCTTTGAAAGCGTGAAGCAAGCTGCTACTTCAGCTCCAATTCTGCAATATTTCAATTCCAGTGAACCTGTCGAAGGCCAAGGAGATGCTTCTGCCAGTGGTATAGGATTTGTGCTTATGCAGAATGGTCAGCCAATATCCTATTCAAGTAGAGCCCTCACCACAAGTGAAAGGAACTATTCTCAAATTGAGAAAGAACTGTTGGCCCAAGTCTTTGGTGTTGAACGTAATAATCAGTATGTTTATGGCCGGAAAGTGCTGTGGTCAGACCATAAGCCCTTGGAAACTATATCTAAGAAGCCCTTAGCAACAGCCCCTAAACGCCTGCAGAGGTCGGTTCTACGATTACAGCAATATGATGTTGAGATACGTTACAAACCTGGTCCTGAAATGTATCTGGCAGTCACATTGTCACATGCCCATCTGCCCGCTCTCCAGCTGAAGAAGAGACGGAACGAATCCATGCAGTTGATTTCTTACCCATTTTAAAACCCCAGTTGGCTGAGATCCAGTGTGAAACTGCAGCAGACTCAGTACTACAGTACCATATTCAAGTAATATTGCAAGGCTGGCCAGATCAGAGAGAAGCCCTACCCTCAGAATTACATCCCTACTTCACTGTGGGAGATGAACTTACTGCACAGGATGGAATCCTCTTAAAACGTTTAAGATGTGTAATCCCTGCCAGCCTGAGGCCCAAGATATGCGAACGACTCCATGGTGCCCACACAGGAGTTGAAGGCTGCCTTTGACGTGGGCGTGAAACAGTTTATTGGCCTGGCATAAATGCTGACCTTCGTGACTACATAGTAAAGTGTGGTGTGTGTGCTACTTACCAGAAAGATCAGCAGAAGGAACCACTTATCTCTCACAAAATTCCAGACCGTCCGTGGGAAAGAGTTGGATGTGATATCTTCCATTTTGAAGACAGAGACTACCTCTGCACAGCAGATTACTATTCCAGCTACTTTGAAATCAATCAACTTAAGGACAAGATTGGCAATGAAGTGATCGGAACCCTGAAGAGACACTTCTCCACACATGGAATCTCCAACAAGCTACAGAGTGATAATGGTCCTCCCTATAGTTCCCATGAGTTCCAACAGTTTATGACAAGCTATGACATAGAACATGTTATTAGCTCTCCACATTACCCATGAAGTAATGGCAAGGTAGAAAATGCTATCAAGTCAGCTAAGAATCTGCTAAAGAAATCCAAGGCAGCTGGAACAGAATTCTACCTAGCTCTATTAGCATGGAGAAATACACCCTCTGAAGGCCTAGAAAGTTCTCCAGCTCAAAGAATGTTTGGTTGCCGCACTACGACACTGATTCCTACGACCAGTGAGATCCTCAAACCCAAAATAGTTGAGGATGTCCAAGGAAAGATCTTGAAGAGAAAGCAACTGCAAGCTAAGCACTACAACATCAGTGCTGAGGAANAAATTGTGTGTGTAAAGCCCACAGATAGGTCTGGTAGATGGTTCAAAGCTCATGTAGAGCAGCAAGTAGATCATGTGAAGTCAGGACTGAGGATGGAAAGATCTTCAGAAGAAATAGAAGACACCTCAGAAGCAGTAAGGAGCCAGCGTGCGTTAGGGACAGCCCTGAGCCCATCCACTTGCTGAATCAGACTCACCGGTCAGAAAGTCTCACCATCCCTAAACCTACTGTCAGTCCTCTGAAAACCAGTTCCCCTCTGGAGGTACCACCGCCTAAGGAATCTAGAGAAATGACTTGTTCCAAGAAACCTGAGAGCAGTTCCCAGACTGGTAAAGTGCCAGAGCAGTCCTCACCCCCCAAACCAGTTGACTGTCCAGTTACCTGAAGTGGCCGAATATCCCGACCACCAAGTTATCTTAAGGACTTTGTTGTTGCCATGTGACATTGAACTAGAGACATTGTTGCTTAATCATTTAGTTTTTCCTTGTTTTGTATTCACCTGTGGTTAGTTTCTTTTCTTAAACAAGGAAGGGTGTGACGATATGTCAATTGTCTAGATCAGCCAATCAGCATTAAGTTCGTCCATGTACTTGAGTTGTTGCTCATTTTACATCATGGCCATGCAGCATTGCTTCATTCTCAGAATAAAGTTCTGTTGAGTTTACTGTTTAACAGTATATTGAGCCTGATTTATACAGACCAAAGTGTTATAAAGAATAGATATAACATCCAATTGTGTCACAGCATTTGTTTAAACAAGAAATTTTAGCTTATATTGTAAGTAGGCATTTGGAGTAGACCTTGACTCATCATCATCTAGTCCTCTTTGTCCCATGGGGGACATAAGGCGTCCACAATTGCTTTCCATTTCTGTCGGTCCTGAGCCGCTCTTTTGGCTTCGCACCAGGTCATGTTGATCTCCTTCAGGTCCTTCTGTATGCTTCTGCATCATGTAATTCTGGGCCTGCCACGTTTCCGTGTTTGTTGCAGATTCCAATCCATCGCATGGCTCGCTATGTTTCTCTCACCCTTCCTTAGTGTATGACCAATCCATTTCCAGCATCTTGTCTTTATGGTGGTAACAATAGGCTCTTGTCCAGTTCTTATCCATAAATCTTTGTTGGAAATCACCTCAGGCCAATATACTCTCAGAATTCTCCTCRGACACTTGTTGATGAATGTTTGTACTTGCTTTGTAGAAGCTGTCGTCACTCGCCATGTCTCTGAACCGTACAGTAAAACTGCCTTAACATTGGAGTAGAAAATTCTAATTTTGGTAGCTGCGCGCAGGTCTTTGCTTCTCCAGACTGGTGTAAGCATGGCAAAAGCTTGCTGTGCTTTCTTCTTGCTGCTATGTCTTCATCTGTTCCTCCAGTCTTGTTCATCACACTACCGAGGTAGGTAAACTCTTCAACCTCTTCAATGTACGACTGATCAAGACGAACCTCTCCTTGTTGAATGGCATTGTTCCGCATCACTTTAGTTTTACCAGGATGGATCTTAAGGCCTACTCTTTGTGCTGTGGTGTTCAGTCATTCCATTTGATTGTTGGCGTCCTGAAGCCTATGCGATAACCTGCAGATGTCATCAGCAAAGTCTAGGTCCTCTAGTCTCTGGATCATCTCCCACTGAATTCCCCTTGGTCTGCTGAATGCTGTTTTAGTCACCTAGTCTAAAACCACTGATCTTACTGATCTTACTAAAAAAGGGCCAGAGCTGGGTATATGTATATAATGGAAGTACAGGCTGTATTGTAGAGGTAGACGGATGATATACATTTTAAATTTTCTGGATCGACTAAATGAACTAATGGCAATATATGTGTAGGTGTCTGTATTATGGAAAAGGAGAAGTTGGACTGTATCTTGTTTAATTTATTTTTTCTGCAGTGAGTGGTATAAAGAAGTAGCAGCTGCAGCCTTCTCAGGTAGAAAACCAAGTTTGGGAAAAGCCATCATACGATTTGCCTGGATTGAGTTGATTTTTGTTGGGTTGTTTGGCTTTCTTAATGTAAGTTGTTAGAGTTGCATGTACACAAGTCATTTAATTGCCACACATGTTATTAACAAACCTTTTTAACTTTCCATAACTTTAATCCCAATATGACTGATGCACACAGCCATTGAAAACAACAAAATTACAAATACAGTCTGAATAAAATAATGAAATAACACCTAATAGACAGACCTTTTGATGCCTGCATTTTAGTTTGCTAGTTGCTTGACTAACTAAATCAAAAGTTAATGTCAGTATTGGAATGTTCAAATAGTAGTGTTCTGGGTTTGTGTTGGAAAGCTTTTTTCCTGTCTGGCAGTTATACCAAGAACCACTAAAAAAATTGAAATTGACAACAAATATGATAAAGGTCTGGAAGTAAAGACAACAGTGATTTCTTTTGGATTGATGATAATGTACCAATTTTTCCACAAGTGTGCATTGGATATGAGATGGCAGATTACAATGTATAAGATATCTCACAAAGTGCATATCTTCAAGTTGGCAATAATCATCTCAAATTTCAAACAGTGCAAGCTTAGCAAATAACAACTCTAGGGGAAAATTATATCAGGAAAAACTAATTTCTTAATATTTGCTAGGGCAATCAAAACTTGGAAACACATCACTCAATGCTCCAGTTTTTAATAAAAATTATTTGTTAGTCACTTCACTCTGCAAAAATGGAAACTGGACATGCTAAAACAGAGACGTCCCTGGATCACATGCTGTCCTTCCATCCTCATACAACACAGTGACATGTCTGAGATTCTGTGAAAGAATTGTCATATTGATGATTTAACACTAGCCTATATCCGTCAGGGCTTTCAAAAAGATAACAATTGAGTGGTTGTCCTGGTCTAGACCAATTCTAAGAGTAATATAGGGAGACCACAAACGACTCACTGTTGGGGGGCAATTTGTGAAAACTGCTTTAAATGATTAATAGCTGGTGATTCACAACTTACTTATTATTATTACTTGCCAGAGCTTGAGAGCTTGTGAGGACTTAGTGAAGCGCTGATCCTGATCAGTTAAGGTTACTGTATACCTTTAAAGGTGTCTTGCGTCCAAGCAATGTACATGTAGCTAAACCCCTATATCAAATTAAAGCCCATAGAACTGGCTATTAAGCTATACCAAGAATTTTGAAAAAAAAAGAAAGAAATGAATTGTTGAATTTTCCACGACCTCTAATGTAAACGTTTGAATCAGTTTGCCCTTAAATTTGGACAGTAGCTACTTTGACATATAAACAACAAAAAGGGGTCTACAAATTTTTTGTTTCAAAATATTTTTTGTCCAGTCCGAGTGATTTTTGTACAATCACTTCACTTTTAAATCCTGTTTCAAAAATGTTCTATAACTTTTCACTGAAATTGAATCTGGCAAAATGCAGACACAATGTTTTAGTGCTTTGATCCAGAGACTGAGGAACAAATTAAATTAGTGAAAAACAAAATTTGCTTTGACTTGTAGCTTTCAAAAGGTGTTTCGGAAGCTCATACGCCTGTATTTAGTGGAAAATTAGACAATTCATGTTAGTTGAAAATTCTTGGTATAGTGTGATAGCCAGCTATATATTAAGCTTTAATTTGATATAGGGGTTTAGGTATCTACAGCTTAAACCGGATGTGCTACATTGCTTGGGTGCGAGACACCTCAGTCTACAATCATGCAAAGGTATACTGTAAACTTAAACTATAGTAGCATGCATGTAGTTTTACTCAGCTCAATTAGCTTTTTAGTTATTTTGAGTAAATATTACCTTCATTTGTATTAATATATTATGCTGTAATTTAAGTTTAACTTTTAATCTGGTTGTTGCAATTACTGACTTAGTTGAGTGACTTGTATTTGCTTATATAGGAAGCCATCAGGACTGTCCAACCTATCTTCCTGCTTTACCTGGTGTCATATTTCATGCCTGGTTCCAGCATTACAAAGCTAGAAGCTTACTTGTATGCCATGGGTGTGACCTTATCATCCATGTTGTCTGTTGTCCTTCATCAGCTGTACTTTTTTAATGGTCACAGAACTGGAATGCACTTAAGAATAGCAACCACTGGCTGTGTCTATAGAAAGGCAAGTGTCAGTTTTGTTTGTAGAGGGATACGTAGGACTTTCAACAAGATGGGTTTATTTGGAAATAATGTAACTACAGTACCAGACATTCCTTTTTCATTCTGTTGGCCTTTCCCTCCTATTTTGGAATGTCAAATGGATCACTGCATCAAGAGAACAAAACATGTTCACAGTTTTTCTTGATTCCAGGGTGAGATGAAATTTTAAAACTCCACTTGCCCTTTGAGCAAGCTGTAATTTCGTCTTACTAGCCCAAATCTCTGAGGAGCTAGCCCAAAATTATTTTATTAATAAGGATAATTAAATCAATTAAGGGAAAAACAACAACAACATGATATTAAGTGTAAATTCTGGGAGAAACGTATATTCAGAAAAAATCCGAGTCTCATCTGGGACTTGGGTTTCTCCCAGAATTTACACTTAACATCATGTTGTTGTTTCTCTGTTAGTATACTCACTTGGGAGGTTGGTTGGACGCATCTCGATATGCCTTAATGTGACAGTGTGATGCTGTTAGTGAGTTCATATGTGCTAGATGCCTTAATGTGACAGTGCGATGCTGTTAGTGAGTTCATATGAGTCAGTACGTGACTGTGTAGCCGCACGATGTGGTTCCAGTTGATACCCACAATTTGACCCTTGCTCACCATGGAGGCTCCAGTAGCTCAGTGGTTAGAGCATCCGACTTGATCACGAAGGGTCGTGGGTTCAAATCCCATCTGGGACTCAGATTTTTTTGTGAGTATACGTTTCTCTCAATTAATATGCAAAAATAATGTTAATTAATAATACAGAGCTTAGATGAACTAGTTCTCTTTGATTTCCCTTTGGAATTAAATCGTATACAATAAAACACTTAGAACACTCAATGAGTGGTTCCAGAAAATATCCATACCCCCACAGAGGTTTTTTTCCAGTTTGACCCCACCCCCCCTAGGATTTTCTGTTCCAGGGGGCTTCACAGTACTCCCCCCCTGGAATTTTCATGATTTTTCTACTTGGGTACCCCTACCATGTGCAAATTCCACATCGATCCATAAATAACAAGACTTGTAATAAGTCATTTATTTTAATCTCCTAGGTAGTGTTATAAAATTTAGCCGTAGCTATTCATGGTTTTATTTTAGACGAAGACACAAGGCTGCACATGTTTTGGTCACATGACGTACGCTATTTTATCGTACATTATTTACAGGGATATTTGCTAGGTCAGGATCAAAGCTGCTGGGTAATGAAAGAATAGGGCTCTGAGATTTAATTTTCCAAAAACTGACTGTGGAAAATTCTAGACGTAAATTCACGTCATGTTAAAAATGAGTTTGAACTACAGTGTAACAACTGACTTACAAGCGCTCCACTCCCAAATGGCATAGCAGCTGACTTTTTCTTCATTCAAAGAAGTTTTCATACGAGAATCTAAGAAAGTACTGAGAATTTAAGCTCTTTTAAACAACCCAGTCGAAGTTTTAATTTATACATAGTCAAAACAACATAAGTCATACGCTTTGTCTTTGTAGTTTGTAAATGATAGTAAATTCACTTTATGCCTTAATGTTTTTAATTTGTCACACATTTCAATCATGTACTATAAATTATCAAATGAAATCTTGGCTACGGCTCCAGTGCTCTTACATAATTTTGCTTCGAGACAATTAGACAATTGCTCTATGTATGATTTGTGATTGTTCGCTTGTAGGCTTTGAGACTTGGTCAAGGAGTATACAGATCTGTCACAACAGGTCACGTAGTCAACCTTATATCAGCAGATACACAGAGTTTTGATCGGGTAAGATTTTTTAAGATATTTTTTGCCTGTAATAAATTTTATTTTAGATAATTATTATCTCTTGGCAGCCATGATACAATACAATTCTCTTGTAATGTTATGTTTTTGGTGTGGAAATATTTGTGAACATTATTTGCGGTTTAATTTTTTTTGTGGTTTGAAAATTATTGAAGCCAGGTCCTCTATCTCCAAAGGGTGCAGGGAAGAATGATTTTGTACCTTTTTAGCATTTTCAAAGTGGGTACTTTTTGACAAAGTTTTGTCTATGTAGCGGCTAGTTACTCCGTTGGATCATGTGTACTAAAAGCATCAGCCGTCAAGTGTTGATCAGTACCCTTGGTTGACCCTCAATTGATGCTCGTTGAACACTCAATCAACATCTCGGTTGACAGTCAGTTGTGGTTACAGTCAGTTGTGGTTACTGGCTTTTAGCCAGTAATGGTAATGTCATCAGGTCAGTCAGTCCGTCTGTCTGTCTGGCTGAGTCCGTCTGTCTGTCTGGCTGGCTGACCGACCGACCGACCAACGAAACTCTAGGTTTCATAGTGCATTTGACTGCATGCAGTTACATCAGTGTATAATTGCATATCATCCAGATTATTATTTTCAGTGTTACATAAATTGTTACATGTGTGTATATGTTTTCAGAGTGTTACGTATTTGCATTTTGTGTGGATTACTCCTGTTCAAATGGTTGCCACTATGTACTTGCTGTGGATTCAGCTGGGTGTCTCCTGTTTTGTGCCTCTGGCACTTATGATTCTCATGATACTTTACCAGTCACGACTTGGAAGAGTTTTTGCTGTGCTAAGGTGAGACCTATATTGCTTTATAACTTTGTAACCCAACTTAAGAAGCTTATTAAGTTGTGCATACATATAGTTTGCTCTAAGAAACATTCTAGGTGGCCCTTTGGGCACCCAGCCTTGTAGGCTAGGGTGCACAGAAGTCAAGCTCGCTAGTCCAAACAAAGAAAAAAAAAATCAAAAATTAATTAATTGATTAAGCAATTGTAATTATCTAATACCATTATTAATAAATATGTGATTAAGCACTTACTGACTGACCCCAAGGGAAACAGTGAGTTTCGTTTCCTCAAGACCCTCAATGTTCCCTGAGGCAAAGCTGAGGGGAACATTGAGGTAGAGGGGAAACAAAACTCACTGTTTCCTGCAAGACCAGTCATTAAGTGTTTTGTTATACCTCCCAAATCAAAAGTAGAAAAAAACTGCAAAGAAATTGTTTGCTTTACGCTGGCTGGCTCGCAAATTTGCCGCGGTTTTAAGGAGCACGACCTGATCATGTGCAAGTAGAAAGTTCATGTTGTTGTTTCCCTAGGGAGTTAGTGAGTTTTGTTCGCCCAACAAACTTGTTGTCCCCTTTCCAAGAACTAACTACATGAAAAATAGTTTTAGTTACAGCGGCGCTACCCTTTGGAACAGCTTACCCTGTAACATTAGAGAGTCTGGTTCATTAAACAAATTTAAACGCCTTCTCTACCATAATTTTTAAACACGGCATTCATGGAAACCAGGATTTTTCTCAAGTGGCATATTAATGTAAGTTAATATAATGTTAGGATTTGGATTTTTGGTCATTATTATGTAATTTTTTCTACCTGATGTTTTTACCATGTATAAATAATGATTAAAGATTAAAGATTAAAGATTAAGTGAGTTTTGACCCCAACACATTACACGTTTTCCTCCAATTGGAAAATGTATTTGAGTTGGGAGGTACAACAAAACCAATTGACCCTCAAATAGAAATGTCTTGGATTGTTTCTAGGTCATTTATCCAAGGTTCACATGCAATATTCAGGTCTATGTCCAGGTTTCTTTGGCTCACAAGGGTGCTCTGATGACAAAAGCTGACTTGACTTTTCCAGCATTTTGATTAAGATTCATTGGTAGATTTTGCAGTTCAATTCTACTTTTGGTTTAAGTTTTTATTCAACAACAAGCAATGCTCAATTCGAGTTTGACATGTGGCGTGATTTCCCTGAACTAATCACAATATTCTTTGCTACGTATAGCAACGAATGTCGGCTGTTTCACCTACAGGTCTATTCGCCTACATTGAAGTTGTTTTACCTACATGATTGAAGTCGTTTTGCCTTCATTGAAGTCAATTCACCTGCACGATCTAAGTTGTTTCGCCTACACTTAAGTCAATGTTATTTTGGGAAGACAGATGAACACTGACTGTCAGACTTCTTTTGGTGAAAGGGAGGTCGATAGGAAAATCACGCAACAACAGTTTATTTTTGCGAATTGGTGATATTACATGTATGTAATCAGTGTTGCTCTATCACATCGTGCTCTCATTATGGAGTAACTGTTTGCAAAGGAAATTTTTGCAGAACTTTTTTTGCGGTAACTTTTTTTGCAAATTGTGGAAAAAAACTGCAAAAATCGCATTTTGATGTCATCTGCGATCTATTACTGAAGAGACGCAAGGCAACATGGAAACGATTTGTTAAAAAGAAACGTGATTTTAAACCAATCATTGTGCATATTTTCTTTGGGCTATTTTATAATAAAGGCATCCATTACTTAACACTAAAACAGAACTTTTAAAATATGTTCCACCTTTTTATTAGAGAGGATTGCTTCTCATTAAAACACTAAATTAAGACAAATTTTCAAGGTTGTATTATTTTAATGAGTATCTTACTGATAAACCCATAAGTGGAGATGGACATGCTACATGTATGTAACTTTAACGTTCAAATAAATTACAGTGGCACATAAATAAGGCCAGGTAAAGTAAAATTTCCATATTATCGTACTGTTCTGGGAGCTTGGGCTTACATTCACTTGGTTGAACCAGTTCAAGACCTTTTGCGTAATCAATTTGGTAAACATACATTCAATAAAAGAATGCTCAGTTGAGTTTTTATTTCTGCACTGTAGACTTTCATAACTGCCTTAATACCAAGTGTGAATAATTCTCTCTTAGTTCAGGGTTTTCAAATTGAAAAAAACGTAGCAAGATGAAATCATAATGTAGGCAGGGCACTACTGGGTCGTGATAAGAGAGGCATTGTATTGAAGAGTGCTGGAGTGGGTTACCCCCTCCTGCATGAGGAGGGAGGGGGGTGGATAATCGCATTTATCATGTGGACCTGTAGGGAGCTGAATCAATTTGTGGTACAATATGTGATACATGTACATGTATGTTAAGCTTGCCAAAAATATTGCTCTTGCTTTGAAGTTTGAAAGCTACATACAACAGCCACACAGTTTAGATTTTCACCTGTTTATTTATTTCCTCCTAAAGATCAGCTCATGATTATGTGGTAAAACAGAACTGCATAGTAATAATTAAAGCTTGATGTGACAAAAAGCACCCAGCACAAACACTTGAAGTAGCCAGTTGTTAGTTACTGTAATCATTCTTTTGTGTAATGTGAGTTACGATGTGATGTTTCATTTAGTATAAACAAAAGGGACGTGCATGTTAACTGTTCTTGGTCAGGTTAAACTCTGTTTCACTGCAAGGAAACTTTCATTCTTGTCAAATTTTCTTTGTAATGTCAGGAGAAAAATGCAAGAAACCTTCTTGCCCATTTTCATCTTTGAAGAAGCTGAAGAGATGAAAATCTATGGAAGCAACTATGGGTCTTATTTTAACTAAGAAGAATGTTTGAAGGATCTCAATGAAACAGATCCCAACAAAGAAGACAAAGAACAAGCTTTTGCACGTGCTTGTTTACTTCAAGTAGTCACAAACCATTATTGTATTAAACTGACGTATGCTAGCATCTGCTAATGCATCATCAAATCTTGCAAAATCAAGGGGTTTTTAACACCTAATATTACCAATCTCAAAGTGTTTTTTCGTCTTTTTCTGGACAAAATAAAACTGCATCATTTATAGGGATGAACATGGGCAGGCGTGTTTTAGAATACTTCCTTCAAAAAATGACTTCAAGCTTTATTTAATTTCACTTCTATTTGAACGTTATGGCCTTGTTTGACCTGGGAAATGACCAATCAGATTGCTCCATTTATATTTGCTGATCCAATATTGTTTTAAATACTGGACCTGAGGCACTTTTATAGCCCAAACGATTCTGCATGATTATGTGTGAAGATTTTCGGGAGGTTTTTATGGCTTACATTTCTGAAAGAACTTACTTTTACATAGGACATTCGTTAATTTTGTTAATTTTCTTTTTCTTCTACTCTCTTTCCTTTCTGCTTTGTTTAACATCAGACACGAGTATATGCCTAGTTGGCTCTCAATCAGAAATGTGCGCTTGAAGTCTGCGCTGTTTCTCCAGTTGCTGATTGTGGCATATTTTGCTTAACATTCTAATTAAGTCATGTTATAAATCTCCTTTTTACCATTAAAAAATGTTCAGTATTGTACTGTCAAGAAATGGGTTCAAAATTCTCCTAGTACAGCTTTTACTCTTGGAGTATACAGTATATGTATGTCACTTACATACAAAAATTATGGTTCAATGAATCATCATGCTGTACATTTCAAGTTTTTGTTGCACATTGCTTGTTTAAGACTACATTGTGTGGTTTACTCACTACAGGCAGTACAATCATTTGGATCATATCAATTGTCACAGTTGTGGGTTGAAAAGCTTGTGGAGATGCCAAATCTTCTAGCAGCATAGAGTGTTACAGCCAGTAACAGTACCATTTTTGATTCCCTTGTGTTCAACCAGTCCAACTAAATAATACAAATAAAAGAACTGTAACTTAGTTTTAATTTAATGTTGTCTTTCTTGCCCAGACTTAAAACAGCAAGACTAACTGATGAAAGATGCAAGAATATGAATGAGATTATCTCAGGAATGAGAATTGTAAAGATCTCCACATGGGAATTGCCATTTAGCAAACTCATCAAGAAAGTAAGAAGGTGAGGGGGCATGCTCTTGTGTATTTTCTGTTCTCGGATTTAAGGATTTTGTTAGTGTAGTGCAATAAAGGAATGAAGAATAACTCAACTTCTTAGGACAGAAACATTAAATATCAGAACAGCCCTCAACTCGCTAGGGTAATTTTCATGGTTAGGAGACATGACTGTTGATTTGAATTGGTCTCATTTGATAGAAATTATAATAATAAGTTGAGTGTGAATATTTCCTTACCTATAAAGTACTGTGAACATGCACATCTCCCCCCACCAGAGGGGGTACTCTACAAAGTCCTATACAGTTAGGCTCTGCCTTGAGGTCCAACCCCATATCCTTTCATATACCATTTTGACAGACAAGGTACCCCTTTCACATATACTTTCATAACTGGCCCATATTATGAATAAATCGCCAAAAAAGGAATTCTTGTTATTTGCATGTAATGCCTAATAAATTAAATGATACAGCCATAAGGTGCATTTGTACTTGTCTTCTGTTCGAAATATTTTAAGTTAAGGTCCTTTGAAATAATTAATGACAGACTTCCCTTTCATATACCTCAACTTATGAAATCCCTACCCTTTTATATACCTGAAGCCTGGAAAAGCTAACCCTTTTGGGTGGAGCTCCCCTCTTATAAGTCATTATAGGGAGTACCCCTTGGCTCAGTACACATTCAGTTTTTTTTTTTGGAACTCATTTCTGTATCAGTTGTAACAATCAAAACACCTCGAGTGTTCCACCTTTGTAAGCTTTGTGATCATTTGTAAATTAATGAATTGCTGTAGAATTTGTGTCATGCAACATACAAATTTCTCCAAATTCTCTTATTGTCTGATTCAAAAAATTTTTTTAACAAGTTCATTTTGTATATATTGTGTATCAGATCAGTTTGAGGCTTAGTTAAATGTGTTTGTTATCTGTATAATTGGCTTGTCAGCCATGATTTTTTTAATATTTATGATTTTATGGTGAGGACATATGACTTATTCATCAAGGATGAGTTCAAGAGAGCTGGATATTTGCCAAGTTCTTCTTTTGGATGTTTATAGACCTTGATTGCATCTTATGGTCCATAAATACATACAAGAAAACAAACAAAAAAACAAAAAAACAGAAAAGAAAAAGAAAGGAAGAAAGAAAGAAGAGGGCGGCAGTTTCCAGCTATGACTGAAAAAGCCTAGTCAATATAATAATGATCAATTATGTGGTTTAAAGAGTGCCATTTTCTCCTGGGAAGGAGTAGGTAATCCCAGCAAGCAGGCTGGATAGCCCTATTTTGCCCACTCAGGTAGCCAATCATAGCTCTGGATTTGGTTGATTTTGTCTAACTCTTAGATGTAGCCATATGATAAAGTTTGTTATTCAGGTAACAAAATAATAAGCCTGGGAACGCAGATGTATTTCTGGCTGTCGCTTGGCTCCACCGAAAATAGCGTCAGCGAACCCGAGCCAGGAAACGATTTCTCTGACATTATGACTTTTTTTCTCCTTGGCCAATCAGATTCCATGATAGAATGAAACTCGAGTGCTCCTCGCAGTGAATACGTCGCGCAGTAGTCCTGGGGCTACTTGAGCTAAACTGTAACTGGCTTAAAATTCCTACGTCACAGAAATCATTTCCTGGCTCGGGTTTGCAGACGTTATTGTCGGCGGAGACAAGTGACCGCTGGAAATTCGTCGGCGTTCGCAGGCTACAAAATAATTAACCCATGGGCACCTGGAGCTTTTTGGCTAGAACACATTTTTTGGACATTTTCAGCCTGGATATGAGCCAAATCAGCTCCAATCTACTCAAAAAGGCATTTGGAACAAGACAGCATGCCTTTCTTTTCACTAGGATCACGTTTTATGACATTTTTACTCAGGTATTCTCAGAAATCAAAATTTTGAGAGAGTGACCTGTGTCTTGAGGGTTTTTGATTTTTTTTTATTTAGCCTTTCCCTCTTCTTTTTTTTTTATCTGTTACAAACTTTTTTTTACAGTACTTACTTACAATGTGTGATGCTTAAGCTACTAACAATACTATACTCTACTTACAAAACAGTGCTTGTCGAGGAAAAGGTTGTTATTCATTGTGGTAGATGCAATAATAAAGTGTATTATCGTTTGTCTCACGNGTTAAGCCCTAATGTAGATGTGGCTTCGCTCCTGGAAAGTCACAACATCTTCTGTTTGTTTTCGAGAAAACAAGAGTTTTAGGTTACATACCTTTGCAAGGAAAACAAAAGTATCAAGTTACAAACGTTTTCGTGAAGAGCAAAATTGTCTCGTTCGCAACTTAAATGTATTATTTAATTTAAAGTGAGCAAAAATCAATGTAAAACACTACAGTAAAATTTGAGAGCTGTCTTGACAAATGGTAATTAATTTTAAGTTATTCGTGGACTGTGAATGAAAATACACACATCAAACATACACACTGCTCAGATTATGTCTCATCAAAATCCATAGCTGACTAGCAAGGTCAGTACAAACCAGGAGTGGGTTATATAGAAACTGTGTCATGAGTACTGCGTCAGAGCTATGCATTACACTCTGCACCATCTGAGATCGTCTCACTAGTTTTTATACAAAATTACTAATTACTTTTATTGCTTGAACATTTTTATTTTCCAAACCATCCCTTAGTAGCTCGGAGAAGAAGAAAAAAGAAGAAGGAGGAAAAAGAACTGCCCACATCAGGATTTGAACCACCGACCCTTCCATCTGACTTCCGATTCCCTGACTGAATCCTCACTGCTGCGCCACCCTGTTATAGAGATTTAATTGTGAGGGAATACAGCTATTAATTCATCACAGCGCATCAGAAAGGCAAACGCTGTCTTTCGGTAAATGTTTAAGAAAAGCAAAACAAGAAAAAAATAAGTAAAAAAGAAAAGAAAAAGTTCTGTTCTCACTAGGAGTTGAACTCATAGCCTCTCACTCACAAGGCAGATATCTTCTCCACTGTGCCACACTAACAGCTATACTATTTGTGGAGAAAATATTGAATAAATCTGTTTGTATGGAAGCCTTGGGTAGTTAATGTCACGGTACGTCCAGCGTGACACATCACATACGGGCATGCACGCCCCATGCATCATGTAATCTCTTGTCAGGCCAAGCACATGGCGATTAAAATAAGACTTTAAGCAAATCTATATTCGTGTCTACATTCCATTCTACTGCAGTTAAAACGGCAGGCTCAAGTACGTTCCTAGCACGTTGTACTTTTATCTTTTTAGTAATTGCCTACTTGTACATGTAAGACTACAGTACTTCAACCCAATGAATAAAACTAGCCATAAGCCCACAAGTACGCATTGCGGACCTATTTTGTTTTACTCTGGGTAAGCCCAGGACTTTGTAGATGGGTTTCAAAAGAGTTCAGAATTTGATAAGCAGCCAAGGAATCATAGTCTTTGGCACACACTATTGACTAACATGTCATCATGGCTCAATGACTTGGTGATTTCTAAGACAGGAACGATTGTTTTTAGTGCAAAGTGCACTATTGGGATGGTGAGGGGGGCTTTTGTCCGTAATGGTATTCGCCAGGTTCCCATCGATATCATTAGCATTACGTGTAGTTCACGAAAAAAGAATTAAGTCTAAACCATTTATGTTTGGGCAAAATTTTTCAGTTTGTGAATGCAAGTCTCAATTAAGTAGCACTGTTCACTGTCTTCTCATAAACATTTCTTGGAATCAATATTAAAGTGGTTTTCTCTGTCAAAACCAAAGAAATTACAGACAGCTTGTTATGAATGAGAAAACTGCTGAGTTTTGAAATTTGTTTTTGTTGCAGGTAAATGTAACGATATTTTTATTTGTTGGTTTCAAATGTAACTTGACACTTGTTTTTCACACACCAGTTGTTGCAATTACAACTAGTGAATCAATGACTCTTGTTCACACAGACAGAATAAACAAACAAGAAGTCAATCTAGCAACACGTCCAGTAACTTTAACTTGATATAAATGGCTGGACATCTCTTTTTAAGTGTCTTTAGTGGCATTTTATTATCTAGCATTTACATGTATGGCAATTCTTGAAAACGGGAATTTTCACAGAGATTTTCTTAAAGGTTTGTGGGATGGAAACTCTTCAAAATGTAATATTCCTGAAGATGTCATGTTGGCAAGATTAACCACAAATTTATTAGACTAGACTTTAAGGCGACACAGTGGCTCTTTCATTGTGAAACAGATTCCTTGCACGGTTCAAAGAGGTACACCTATGTCTCTCATTAAGAGACAAAACTTTTACTATAACGGACTTTTTGTTACCAAAAAGGCCGTCAGTTGTTGGGAAGGGTAATGTGACAAGGAAACTTTCCATGGAGTCATGGAGTCTTATAAAATTATACAGTTTTTCAGGTGTCTGGTTGTTTCAAGTCTCATTACCTTCAATAATGTCTTCTTGTTTAACACAATGACTCCTGTGCTGTAACCGGCTGTGACGAGCGTTGGCCTTTGTTCCACTTCCTGATGTCATCACCTTTGACCAAAATCAGCATCATCTATACTCAAGTTCTGCAGGAGGAAAACATCTTTCCAATAATACCCAGATCAGAGTGATTGGCTCAATGGAGCCTGAGATATGCAAGGAAATGTTCAGAAATTTGAATGAAAAACTTGCAGCAAAATTTCCTGCACATAGCTACTCCATGGTAAAAATTGCCTGTCTCGATGATGCTTTCTCAGAAATTGTTGAACTGGAAGCAAGCCAAGTGGAAGGTCAATCACTGCAGCAAAAAGATAAGAAAAGGAGGGAAAAAAATTTAAAAAACCGAAAAGCCTAAAGACATCCTGGTAGGTCACTTTCTTGTCCAGAATCTCAAAATTTTGAGACGTGATGCTAGTGGAAAGACAGCCATTGTGCCATGCCACAAATAGCTTTTTGAGTAGATTGGAGCTTGGCTCATATCCAGGCTGAAAATCTCAAAAATGTCCAAAAATGTGTTTTTGGGAAAAAGTTCCAGGAGTCAATGGGTGAAATGGGTTTTGAAATTGATATTAATTTGGAGTGGTTTCGTGGAATATCAAAACCGAAAAAACTATGATCATTGTTGGCAATTGATTAAGACCATGCTATTGCGTGACAATGTTATAATTTAATAGGTTCTTGTTATAAAATGAGTCAGAAAAATGATCCAGAATAAACACCAATCTGCTGTTTACTGTTAGCTACTATTACAGACTGCACGATGTTTAGCTGTCTGGCTGGGAACAGTTCCATGTAGTTCTAGTAAACACAGCCACTGATCAACTTTTAAAATCAAACCTTGATAAAATTAGGCTTGATATCAGATCTCCCAAGGTGAAACAAATTCTATTTTTTTTTTCTTTCTGCGCTGTACATTGTAACCAAACAAACTTGTTGGATTAACCTTATCATAACTGTTAAGAGTCCACTGAGTGCTGCTACCTCTAGCCTAGGGGCTTTTAATTCACTAAAAAATAACTCTTGCACACCTTGCATGCCTATGTTTTTCTGTGCAGGCTTGAAATTTCAAAGGTTAGGAAGACACAGTTTCTACGAGCAGTTAACATGGCTATGGAATTTGCTTCACAAAATATCATCAGCTGTATAACCTTTACCACGTATGTAGTGTTGGGTAACTCACTTACTGCTGCTAAAGTCTTCAGCTCCATTGCCTTTTTGAATGCTCTTCAGAGATCAGTGACCAGACATTTTCCTCCAGCAATTCAGAAATTGAATGAAGCCACAATAACAGTAAAGAGAATTCAGGTGAGAGAGGATCAGGCATTGGTATAATCATGCTTGTTGATTACTTTTGATTCACATTCATTATTAAATGACAAGAATTTTTTTCCCTGGTGTTTTGTATCAATGAAGTTATAAAAACACTGGTGGAAGTTTGGGAGATTGAGAAATGCTGTGGGAGTTTGAGCCACTGCTAATAGACCATATTCGTATTCTCGGTATTGGACTGGAACTAGCTTGCAATGGAGGCTTGTGCGTGGGAGTATCTTTAAAAAGAGATAATGTCATTAGCGTTTGAAAAGACTCCCCGCATTAGCCTCACTTGCAAGCTAGTTCCAGTCCAATACCAGGACTATGAATAATGGCCTATTATCTTTGGTTGCAATTTGTCCTTGGCTCAAATATCATGTTACAGCAGCACATTTCACTTGCCACTCAGAGGGCCTTCTCAACCTTTACAAAGGGAAAGATCCTATTTGTCAAAACTCTTGTTAAATTACTTTTCCTGCTTTGCTGAAGGGTGAGGTTGACCTTCCAGGGATAACATTCACTTAATCTCAAACTTCAAAGATGAGCATACATGCACACAATGTAAACGTACTTCATATCCCTGGGAATCTTGCATTTAACTGATCATGACCTATTTTAATTAAGCTTGTACATGTACAGCATTTTCATGACGAGTTGAGTTTAGGAAGCACTTAAAATGTATTACACAAAGTCATGCAATAGTGCATGCATTTGAATTGTTTAGCTTGCACACCTACAATTATAAGTATTAAGTTTTGATGACAAACAGTTTTACATGAAAGTATTACTTGATATAGCTTTCTAAATTATTGTGTTAAATGCAGCAGAGTTTTGATCTAAATCTACTTAGTAGAATTCTACTAGTATACTAATGCAAATGCTGTAATCTGATTGGCTGAGCCATTGCACACTATCAGCCATTAGAGTGCAGTGGCTTGGTGTGGTCGACAAAATTGCAATGTTTCCTAATGTTTCTCCGAAGTTTTGAAAGAACATTTAGAAACAAATGGATAATCAAATTCCTGAGAAGACTAAAAGGTGGGCATTTACGGTTTCTTGAATTAAAACCTGGAAATTGTTGAAAGAAACTGATAAGTGTCCGTACACAACTGCAAATGTCAAATTGACAATTCAGTCCGTGCAAATTCACTAAAGCGTGAAGTTTAATACTAAGACTAGAAATAATTGGAATTGTTATTTGAAGGGCATTTCAGTTAGAATTCTACTAAAATGATTAGATTATGAGCTTGAGATTTCTATGAGGCGATAGTTGATTCGGCCTTCGGCCTGATCAATTATCACCTCATAGAAATCTCGAGCTCATAACCTAATTGTTAATTGGTAGCCTCAGTGCCCACTAGTTGTATTAACCGATCTGTTGAATTTAAGGGGTTTACTACATGTAGTACTTGGACAAAAACCTGCACTGATTAACTATTAAATGTTGGTTGTTGGATCTAGGCATTTATGGAGTTGGAGGAGTTAAACTTTGAAAAGATATGTCAAAAGTCAAATAAATCAGGAAACCCTGGTGTGGTTGTCAAAGGTGTTACTAGCACATGGCATCAGGTTTGTAGCTTTGATGATAACAGTTGACCTGGTCCCAGAGAAACCAAAATTCGTGTGAAGTTTGCAGTTAGAAAATAAGATGGTATCTACATTAATCTGGAGACATGTCAGATTGCTGTAGTTTGTTCAGTCAAACATTTCATGGCTTCCTATTTCATTATCTTACCATTACAGATGTAACATTGTATGTACATCATAAATTCCCAGTTTCTTTCTTGCTGTACATTGCAACCAAAAACACTTGTCAAATTAACCAAATCATTACTGTAAACAGTTCCATGAATGCTTCTATCTCCGAGACTTTTAGTTCACAAAAAAAAACTCTTGCACACCTTGCGTGCCTATGTTTTATGACAAAAAGTCCTCCTGCCAGCTGAAGCTCAAGTGTGATCTGATCTAGACAGCACAAATGTCCTGAGTGCTACACATACCCTGTAAGCAATATTAGTTTGCTTTGAAATAGGTCCAAAAGATAAGTCAGATAGTAACTTTTCAACCATTCCTTGATGCAGCATTTATCACTTGTTGAATGATTAAAGCACACCTTGTATAATTTGAATTAAGCAATCAGCATTCAGCTAAGAGAAAATGACTTACAGTACTGTAACACTGATTGTGGCAAAATGTATTTTCTATGACAGGGTTGTCAAAAAGATTTCAAGAAGGTGACTTTTGTAGTATCGTATGTTAGGACTGGGCTCTAGGCCCATTGCATGCTGGGCCAACGCAGGCCCGGTTACCGTTGTCGTTGTAGTTTCATAGCTAGTATGGCAGCCATAGTCTATTAAATTGGTGACAAGGAACAACCAACAATGCCAGATGAAGCCGACACTAGTCAGAAAGGAAAGTCAGCAGTTCTTGCCAGCGTACAAGCAAGCGTGGGCGCCTTCAGTTTGAGTTGTGAACCAGGGCAACGTGAGAAGTTATGGAAAGACTGCTTCAAACGTGCCACTCGATGGATGGCAGTCAATGATACCGACAAGCTAGACTTACTGTTATTAATAGGAGGAGAAGAGCTCCAGAAGCTACTCCAAACACTGCCCGAACAGCCCACAGATTACAAATCGCACATCGAACTGCTGGACCAACACTTCAAGGTGAACTGCAACAACACTTTGGAGTTGTACAAGTGGTTCAACACGGAATGGTCACCTGACATGTACTTCGCTGACTTCGAGACAGAATTCAGAGAGCAAGCGCTTCGTTGGGATTTCCCCATCACACTGGACAACGCAATCATCATGATGATTGTGGTGAAAACCAGCAACGTCGAGCTTGGAATGAAATCATTCGGAAAAATGGAGACTTGAAATCGGTAAGAGAAACAGTTAAGGCTTTTGAGATAGCAAGTGAAGGCAGTCAAATGATGAAAAGCGCAGAGGAAGAAAAAAGCCAAGATAAGGGCAATCCAGAGTTAAAATGAGTTTACACACCAGGACGGTTCAGCATGAGAAATAAAGGGCCAAGCCGTACCGCTGACCATTCGCAGGCACAGGCCAGACTGCCTTGCTCCAAGTGCGGGAATGAGGCACGTGCCAACAAGGATACATGCCCAGCTACTGGAAGGAGATGCCTCAAGTGTGGGCATCCGAATTACTTTGCCCGCATGTGCAAGGGTGCAGCCAATGACAGGAAAGACAAGCGAGCCAACGCAGTGGAGTGTGAGCAGCAGACCAACACACACCATGGGTCTCAAGAAGAGGAGTTTTTAGAAGATGTGTACTTGTACCAGCTGCAGGAAGGAAAATCACAGAATCCGACTGTTGCCATTCACGTCAATGGCATTCNGATAGGAAGATTTGTAAAATTTTAGTTATTAATTACTGTTGTGATGCGCTTTTGAATATTTTATAGAAAAGGCGCAATACAAATAATAAATGTTATTATTGTTATTGTTTTTGGGTGTCACCCCATAGAACTATCTGTAAGCAAGGGGGGAATGTAGTATCGTATGTTACTTACTTTGCTTTACTTTACTTTACTTTACTTTACTTTACTTTACTTTACTTTACTTTACTTTACTTTACTTTACTTTAATCATTTTCTCAACAGAAATACATACATATTCATATATAAAGCTGAGGGGGAAAGCCAAAAACAGGAACAAGTTCCCTTTCAAATGGCCACCCAAACCACAGAAAAAGAAAAAAAAATTAAATATAAATATAACAGTAATAACAATAAAACCGGTTAGGACTGGGCTTTAGGCCCATTGCATGCTGGGCCAACGCAGGCCCGGTTACCGTTGTCGTTGTAGGTTCGTAGCTAGTGTGGCAGCCATAGTCTATTAAAACTTTATTTTTGGAGAAGGTGGATGATTATTTCCGTCTAACGAACTGGACAAATAGCTTTGTTAACAGAGTAGCTGGCTAAGAACATAAAGTTCATGAGATCCAGGATTTTTCAAGAGGAGGGGGGAGGGGAGGGGAGTGGTTGGTATTGCAGAATCAATGGGGCATGTTCCCAAAATGAATGGCTAGCTACCCAATCCACCCCCCCCCCCCTTCCAATACATGTAAATCTGCCCCTGCACCTGCATCTGGCAACTCAATTGCCAGTTGCATTTATATCATCTTACCTCTTTGGTCTATTCGTAGTTTTAGATTACCTGTACATGTAGTAATATATTATATGCAATGGGTAATTAATTAACCTATTAATAATTTTTTTTTAGGAAAGCAATGACAAAGCTACTTTGCAAGATGTTAGCTTTGAAGTGGGAAAGGTATTGTAAATGGATGATTCTAGATTGAATCCAGTTCCAAAGGTGAATATTTTCACCAAAAACACTCAGGACTAATTATGTTAATGACGATTAGACCAGGGTTTAGAAAGTCGTGGTCTAAACTGTGTCTTAGGCTACAAATTAAATTGTTCAAATGCCTATAATAATAATGTTATTCTAACAATTGTTCTCGTCTAGACAGTGTTCTAATGTCAATGAACAAACAGTAGTAGCTTAAAGCAGGTTACAGGCAGGTTTAGACCTCCTTTAGTCATTGTGTTTTGAGTCATGAATGGGATAGCACACTACAGGCAATATGCGAGAACTAGTCATCAACATGGAAGACAAATTTGACATTTCAAGGACTGGTCAAGCCCACTGGAAGAATTTGGTATCAAAGATTTCAGGAAGCCATTCCGTTTTAGGGAGGATTCAGTAATTAACTTAACTGATATGTTGAAAGAAAGCCTACAGCATCAAACGTGGCGAGGACGCCCTCTTCTGCTTAGACAGAATGGCCGTCAAAGTTGTTTCTAACAGGTTTGACAGATGCAGGAATGACATCTGCTACCATCTTTGTTGATCTGTGTTGGGTGTGCTAAAGCTTTTCTCCCACCTGGCTTCTTTTATTCTGTGGTTTAGTGGTGACATTCTTTCTTACAGTTTGAATTTCCATTCGCTTCCAGCGTCCTTGTGATGTTTTGAAATTTCTTTCCAAGCCTTGCCTTTTTTCTTCAGGATATTATTATCTTACCCCTTGTTCCCAGTTTTGCGAAATTGTTGGCCAAGTTCAGCAAGAAGAAGTTTTTCTTTCTCGCCAAAAGTTGTGTGCACATGATGCACAGTATAGATGCATTTGAAAACTTATTCATATACAATCTCGCTCATGAACCTAAAAAAGAAAACCATGATAGACTCTGTTTGTTTTGGCTAGTATGGAGATGTAACCAAGTTAGTCCTTTTCTAAAACCGTACGCTTTGTTTAAATGTTCGGGCCTTACAGTCAGACTTCCAATTGTATTTCGTCTCTTTGTATTAGGGAGACCTGTGTATGGTTGTTGGACCAGTTGGCTCTGGAAAGGTATTTTATTGCAGTGTACTGCGTACCAAATTAAAATATATTTTAGTGCCTTCTTCCATCTTTGACAGCCTGTTGATGAAATCCGTACCACTCTGATATACCATACTTGTAAATGTAAAAATGATAAGATACCTGCACTGCCAAAAGTATTTTGAGTGCTAAATTGATATTGTATTCATTTGGTGGTATTATCAGGCTGCCCTAACACTTCACCCAACAGGAGAAAAATGTTAGGTGCATTATTGCACCATTTTTTGATAACACGAGTTGGACAAATGCTTTTAAACACATCCTGAACTTCAAATCTCGAAAAGTGGTTGATTTTCGGAATCTGTTTACTGATTTGTAGGTCTCCCCCCTTTTCTTTCAAGTAGCCAAGTGACACAATTATTTTGTTTGCTCGTGTGGCCGATGTATTCGTGCTTGATCATTCTGTAAATATGATGACGTTTTTTTGCAGTCTTCGTTGTTGATGACGATGATGGGTGAATTGCGGATTATTGAAGGAAACTTGTTTATCAAAGGAAGTATTGGTTATGTTCCACAACAAGCCTGGGTTTTCTCTGGATCTGTGAAACAAAACATTGTATTTGGACAGGCATTTGAGGAAGACAGATATGACAAGGTTATGAGCGCTTGTTGCTTAGAACAGGTAGGAATTTGTTTCTCTTTTTATCAATACTTAAATTTAACTTTTTTATCTTTCCAGGTGTTTAAGTATCCCCTGATGTTGCGAATTCATTTTGGAAGAAAGTCAAGATCAGTTTGAAAACTTTTTTTTTTTTTAAATTTTATTTGGTTTTTGCCATTTAAAAGACATAATTACAATACAGTACAAAAAATAAAATAACAATACAAGTGAAAGAAACGAAAATCAAAATACTACAAAAACTAAGAGGAAAAAAATTAGTAAGCTACATTCGAAACATTCATTTACTGCACTGCGTTAAAGTAAAAAATTAGGTGCTTAGGGTCAAGATTACAAA